TGTATAGAGTTGTGTTCAACCGGAATAACCATCTTCTGGTGACGGAGCTTCCAAGGAGGTTCAAGCTTTGGCTCCTAGTGCATAGAAGAAATGGTCATCATTTGCGTAGTGAATGGGATAGTTGTGTGATATATCTCTTGAAATATTTGTAGGTTTGTTTGTAGTGTTTGAATGTCTTGTCAAGTACTATGTAATAACTGGTATATTTTGTGTTGTGTTTAAGCGTGGCACAATATTTAACAAACTTTTTTCCCATGATGATAGTGTGGTTGAATAGCTGTTTCACTTGTGTATGTTTCATCGGGAATTCGTTTTGGTTAAGTTTTAATTTTTGTACTGAAGTCTTATACACTAGTTGAACTGAAACCACTTTTTTCCAAGTGCATTACGAGTTATTGCTGAAAAAGTGAGATATATTTTATTTTTCATTTGTTCCAACCTAAGTTGGACCTTTATAGATTCTCTACCCTCATTTCTTGTACTTATGATATAGTTCTGTTAGTATAGAATCGTAATCTCATTCAACATAAGGCCTTTAAAATTTGGTGTCACAATAGCACTCATGGATATAGCGTGAGTTAAGTGACGCTTACTTGTTATGTAGAACTGATGTTATATAATGTATTAGAACTGAAGTTCTTTTGGGATTGAAATTATTTACGATGAAGTTGCTACGTGATCTCTAGCCAGATCTTATTTAAGTATAAGAAATTTAGCAAAATTTGGGAGCCAAAATTTTGTTTGAACTTCTTGAATTTTAGTAGTTGAACTTCATAGTAAAAGTTAAAGTACTGGTTTAAATTAGCTACACTTAACAGATAGCCCTATTAAGTTCATAACTACTTCACTAGTCAATGCAGAATGATGCTTCTCCTTTTTTTTGAATTTTTGTCCTTGGTTGAACTGTAATCTATTTGGTTGAGTCTTGGCCTTCTTTCTCAAGGCATTAATTGGTATCATCATAGCACTTACCGAATAAACTAAGTTGTACTGAGATTTCAATTGTGCTAGTACTTTGATCATTTTTTTGTGTTGTTTGAAACTAGTACCTTACTAGTCAATGTGGGCTGATGCTTCTGTTGTCTTTCTTGTGATTTTTCTCCTTAGTCAAACTGATATCTTTTTGATTTAGTTTTGGCCTTCTTTTTTCTAGGCTGTGGTTCTTCTCAAGGCAATATTTGGTATCATCATAGTACTTGCCATATAGACTAAGTTGTACTGAGATTTCAATTTTACTATTATTGTTATTCTTAGTGTTTCACTATGTTAGAGAATGCGAACTGAAGCTTCCCATTCCTTTTTATTTTTGTAGAATGAATGTACTTTGTGTTCAAGTGTACCGGTACTTTCAATCCTAGCATGCTAGTGACTAGGAAATACATACTAATGGTTCTTTGCTTTTCCTGTTGTAGTACTTAGTAATTTTATAACTACTATTAGCATGATGATGTTAGTAATAAATGTTTTCCTCGGCTAAAACTTAGTCTTTTTAGTGTTCTTCTGAAACTAAAAACTGATTTTTAGTGTGATAGTACTACCGTACATGTCTAAGTTGTACTAAGCGTCCAAGGCTACTATTTGTTGTTGTCCTTAGTTAGTCTGCCATTGTTTTTTTTTGTGTGAAAATATCCATGTGAGATTTATTGCAACATGACTAGTGCTACATAGCAACCATCAAGTTTCATTCACAACCTGCTTCAACTTCAAATGATGGATAAACAAAAAAGAAAGGTAGCAAACTTGTCGAACGACATAAGCAAACGATGTACTTGATAGGCATAGGAAAACTTGTTCAAAACCTAACACACATAACATAAGGAAGTTGGTTCAACCTAACAAAAGCAAACTACAAATCTGAAACAACAAGATTAAGGACAAGCAGAAGCGCGAGCAACACGAAGGCAGACTTTCATGCCTCTTCATCCTGCGAAGTTGCAGTGGTAGTAGGGGTCAGCCTCCTGCTCTTTTGAAATATCCCAACCTGTCACGATTTTGGCGATTATCTTCCACGACTTGTACGTGGCGTACGCATCTTTTCTGGCATACTCGATGAGCTTGTCTGGCAGCGGGCTGATCCCCCACAGTTTGTAGTCTTCCTCCTTGTTGATGTTATCCTTCATGCCTTTGTAGAACAGGTGGATGACACTGGCTGCAACATCGACCAAGGAGTCGTAGAATTTGTTTGTGGTTGGAACTTTCCACTTGCGCTGCATGTCAATGAAGTTGTTGGGGTTGATCTCCAATCCGGACTTTTTCAACATCTTCTTGTCACCTTCAATGCTGAAACCAACAAATGTGTACAATTTCTCCTCATGCAGGAACTATTTGAGGCGCTTGGGCCTGCAAGGGGGGAGACACATATTGAAGATTAGTGTTTTTTTTGAAGATTTAATTCTCCTGCTTTTTTTGTTTACAAGTGATAATCCATGAGGTAGATGCTTATATAGTACAAGTCATGGATGAATGTAGTTCACAAACTAGTACACAAAGTCCTGAAATTAAATTCAACTACACCATGTTATTTTTCTTTTTTGGTATCTTCAGTGCTTCACCAAATATTTTTTCCTTTTTTATCATCCGTGGTGCAGAGCTAAAATTATTTTTATTTTTATTTTTCATATTTTAAAGTTATTGCGTACGAACTAGTAGTTGAACTTTTATATTTTCATTTTTCGAACATTTTTTTTGTAGTTTATATTTCTTTGCCCCGCTCTCTGCTTTGTTTAACTGGCCTTATTGGTGGGGTGATTGTAGACGATGGAGGCTATTGGGACGTTTTTCGGCCCAAATGGCCCGCGCTGGCATTTTGGGGACTGCTGGATGTGCGTGTGATCAGGGTTTAGTCCCACCTTGCTAAGGGAGGAGGCTCTCGACCTGTTTATAAGCACGGCCAAGTCCTACTGGTCGAACTCCTCTAAATACTTACCTGAGCGCTTATACACGGCGCTCTCTCTATCATGACCTTTGGGTCCTGGTCGGCTGGCCCTGCGTTGTGCGGATTACTAGGGATTCACCGACGGTTCCGCCGTGGGCTCGCGTTCAAGTATCTAGCAGCGTTAGGGCCTGCCTGTCCTTGGGCGGTCAATTTTTACTTTTTTTTGTTTGAATCTAGTACTTGACCCCACCAGTAACTTGGACTGATATTTTTTGTTCTAGTTCTATGGAAGTGTTATTTTTGCATTTGAAGTTTTTAGCCTTGTGTTTCGTGTTTGTTTTTGTGATTATTCTCAAGGGTCTTCTGGTATCATTTTCACCACTATGGTACTTGCGTGTATACTAAGTTGTACTGATAGTCCATTCATAGTAGCACTTACGTTATTAGTCTGACATTTTTTGGGGGGATACGAACTGATGCTTCTTTGTACTTCTTATTGTAGTAAGTATGCACTGTTCGATCAAGTGTACTAGTACTGTCATTCTAAGGCTCCAAGTGACCAACATAAGTGTGTGCTAATGCTTCTTAACCTTTTCTGTTTGTAGTACTTGTTAATTTTTTAGCAGCTACATATGTATGAGAACAATACATGAAATACTAAGAATTTCCGCTTCAACTTTTGAAGCGTTGTTAAGCAACTCAAATTGTACTGATTGTTTTCAACATTATGTTTTCTATACAATACTGAATCGAAACTACACATGGAACAACATTGTGTGATTAGTTGCTTCATAACTAGCACTTAGAGCAGCCGCAAAGTTCCATTGAGAAGCTACTTTGAATTTGAAATGATGGATTAACAAAATACGAAGCTACCAAACTTATATAATGAGATAAGCAAAACAATGTACTTCATGACATAATTAAACTTCTTCAACCATGACAAGCACGGCATAGTCATAATGGTTCAACCCAACAAGAGCAAACTACGAATTTGAAACAACATGATAAAAGGCAAGAACAAGCGGAAGCAATGCGAAGGCAGCCTTTGATGTATATTCATCCCTAAAAGGGGCGGTCGTAGTAGTGGTCAACTCCCGCGCCTTTGAAATTTCCCAACCATTTCTGATGTTGTCAATCATGTTCCATGACTTGTACGTGGCGTACGCATCTTTTCCTGCATACTCGATGAGCTTGTCTGGCAGCGGGCTGATCCCCCACAATTTGTGGTCTTCCTGCGTGTCGATATTCTTCTTCATGCCTTTGTAGAATGGGTGGATGACGCTGGCTGCAACATCAGTCAAGGAGTAGTACTCTTTTCTGGTGTATGGAACTCTCCAGAAGCGCTGAATGTCAACGTACTTGTTATAGTTGGTCGTCGGAAGGCCAGCCATCTTCATCTTCTCTTTGTCGCCTTCAATGGTGAAACCGGCAAATGTGAACAAATTCTCATGCTTCAGCATCTCGTTGAGGTGCTTGGGCCTACAAGGGGAGAGACATTTTGAAGATTAGCATTACTTTGATGTTTGAATTTTCATTTTCATTTTTGTTTTACAAGCAATGAATGCATGAAGTAGATGCTTATATAGCATAATTAATGGATGAATGTACTTCAGAAATTAGTAAACAAAGTTCTGAAATTAAATTCAAGTACGTCATGTTATTTTTCTTTTTGGATTATAGATAGTTTGAGCCAATGTTGTATGTGCTGCTTTAGTACTAGTTTATTTACTTTTGTTGAATAGCACAACACATACCAGTGCTTTAGCAAGTTCTTAGTTTTTTGCTTATGAAAATAACATTAGACCAAATTCAGATACTACTTCACTACATCAAGTTCAGAAACATCTTTTTAATACATTGAGTACAAAAACTACACTATCGGATCAAGATCAGATACTGCACTAGTACATCAACTTCAGAAATTAATTTTCTACAAGACTTTTCAAATAGTAATCCAGTGCATCAGGTTCAAAAATACATTTATGGTGTATCTACTTGAGAAAATGCAGTAGTGCATCCAGTTTCACAAACCACACTAGTACATCTAGTTGGGAAACAAGTTTGAATTTAAATGGGTACTAATTAAACAGATGAACCAAATAGGGCAAACAAGTAGGATGGGTCACCATTTCGTGGCCGCTGCGATGTGGTACACCAGGCAGAGTTCCTCCATGCACAACTTTTGGACTGCTGCCATCTGGGGAGGTTCGTCTTCCCTGGTGTAGTGCACACCAAGGCCGACGATCTTATGATGAGAGCCGCCAGCCTTCCTCCAGAGCCTGGAGATCATCTCATCGGCCTTGCCTGGTTCGCTGGTGCAGACGATCTCCAACGTCTCATTGCCGTGGAGCTCAACCCCTGTGAGCGTTTTGGTGTACGCGCACTTATCGCCGGGGACATGAGCGTTGTCGAGGTTGCAGCTCTTGTCGGACGTCTCGCCATGATGACGCTTGGCGGACGGTTCCTCCGCCATTGCCCTCTTCCAGCGACTGTGGGCTTGGAAGAGAGAAGTTTCTAGGTTCTCTGTGGTTGAGATGGAAGCAGCAATGGTGGTTCATGGAATGAGGCAGAGATGTAAGACAATGGGTTATTTCTAGGGCGTGGACGGGGATGTGTGGGAGGCGGTTCGTCGGGGACGTGGGTGTAGTGGTCGTGGGATCGTCGTTTGCAGTCCCTTGTGGCAACCGCCCAGTGTGTGGCGCGAGCGGTGGCCTGGAAGAACCAACCGTCCAAGGCAATTACTTTGCCAGGGTATTAATCTAGTCGAACTGAGTAGTCTTGTCAAGCTGTACTTATCAGTTGCTTTATCCCACTATGCTCATCTTAGGGTCGGTGACGATGGCATTTTATTGTCGCACTGATCCACCTTGTCAAGCTATACTTATCAGCTGCTTATCCCACTTGCACGTGTCAGGGTTGGTGATAGTGGAGGTTTGTACTTCTCTACTGTGTTAGTGGGACTGGTGATTGAAGTGTAGTTGAACTTACCAAATACCAGTCGGACTGTGTGTGTCATGTTAATCTTTTTTAAAACATTTTTTGTTTTTTTGAAAGGATGGTTTATATGAACATAATATTTGAAAGTATTTTTATAGATCAATTAGTTTTTCATCAGTACAGGTGTATTATATTTGCATTTGCTTGAGGTAATTATTATTCTGTACTAATGGACTTTCTGAAGTAGGACTGGCAGAACCAGACACAACTTGTTTTTTGAAATGATGTTTTTTGAGGATTATCAATACTGATGTGTGTGAGGGTATAAATTTTCCTTAACATATTTTTGCTGAGTTACTGGTCGACAGTAATGTTGGCGTTACATAAATCCAGATAAGTTTTTTCAAATATATTTATGACTGCATTCAAAAGGAATATCAAATCGTTTACATAATAATGTCACTGGTCTAGCAGGCACAAATCACAAATTATATCTTAACTATAGTGCTGATTAAGAAATCGATGATAAAGCTAAATATGTTTTGGTAATGACAGTGTTTCTGAAATGTTTCCTCATTGTGTACGGAGGCAACTGAGACTACAAGCTAATTTTTTAGTTGACGCAGCAGCATAACCACTATGGATCCTTCAGTCTTGAGCTCCTCCTAACTGGCCCCGAATGTTATCCCTTGCCGGCGCCCTTTCCTGGTTGAGCCTTGGCAGCTTCATCGTCAGTTTCAGTTTTCCTCGTCCTCAATACTGTCATCTTCATTGTCTTTTTCTGATTGGTCATCATTCTCGTCAAACTCTTCTTCTTCATCCTCTTCATTTGATTTTTTGGAACTCTGGACCTTGCCATGTTTCTATTCAGCGCCATCGACCTCCTTGCCATGTTTCTGTTCAGCGCCATCGACCTCCTTGCCTACTTTGCATGTGCGGGCATTAAGTCCATCAGTCCCCCACACTTGCTGCTAGTGTAGCTCCTACGTGTGTCGTCTCCATTGGTAGAGACCTGGGCAACTCCAATCTGCTTCTGCAGCTTTTGCTTGTTGGCAATGGCATTTGTGCGGTGTGGGCATGTACAGTAATTATGATTGGTCACCCAGTTGCAGAATCCGCATGCCCTTACACCGAGAGGTTTCCCGTCCGGGCCGTATTCCACGCGTTTGATGGGGCATGGCGGCTTTTTAGATGCTGCTTTTGCTGCTTTCGCTGCCTGCGTCTCACTCTTCCTCCCTGTCAGTGTCAAAACTGGCAGATCTCAGGTAGGGTGTCCCGATCTATGCGTCTTAGGCTGATGGTAACAGGAAGCAAGGGACACAGTGTTTACCTAGGTTCGGGCCCTCTCGATGGAGGTAAAACCCTACTTCCTGCTTGATTAATATTGAAGATATGTGTAGTACAAGAGTAGATCTACCACGAGATCGTAGAGGCTAAACCCTAGGAGCTAGCCTATGATGGTATGATTGTAATTGTGATCGGCCTTCTAAGGACCATCCTCTCCGGTTTATATAGACATCGGAGAGGGCTAGGGTGTACATGGAGTCGGTTACAAGGAAGGAAATATAATATCCGGATCGCCAAGCTTGTCTTCCACGGAAAGGAGAGTCCCATCCGGACACGGGCCGAAGTCTTGAGTCTTGTATCTTCATGCTTCAATAGTCCAGATGATGTATACAGTCCGGCTGTCCGGATACCCCCTTATCCAGGACTCCCTCAGTAGCCCCTGAACCAGGCTTCAATGACGATGAGTCCGGCGCGCAGTCTTGTCTTCGGCATTGCAAGGCGGGTTCCTTCTTTCGAATACTCCGAGGTTATTATCGAACATGTAGGCCATGTCCGGATCTACAAAATGATCTTCACATACCACCACAGAGAGAACGATACTTCAGCTGACAACTTCTTAAACGACGTGACATGTCCTTACAGTCGGGTCATTATTCGAACCGTTTTTCCGCAACCAGCCACAGCGCATATTGTGTGGCGGTCTACTTGACACGTCTTGTCAAAGTAGAGATCATGTCCCCTTATCACGGGATTCTCATCAATATGTGTATGGGTAATCCTCCCGTGCCATCAATCGTGGCGCTTGGGAAGTAAGCGATTCTCAACATGCTAGTGGGGAGGCGCACCACTTTCGTCGCCTCTATAAAGGGATAAGAGTTCCCCATTCTTACCCACGCCTTCTTCCTCCTCTGCCCACTCTCGCCCCCTCGAGCTCCAGCACCCTAGTCCAAGTCTTCTCCGCACAGCTAAACATGTCCGGAGCAGGAGGTAAATGGGTGGCTTCCACCGTGAAGGAGAAGAATATCGCAAGTCTTCGAGCGACCGGATACTTGGCCGCAGACATAGCGCACCGGCTACCAGACGGCGGGCAGGTCATTCCAACTCCAGGACCCCACAAGAGGGTCGTGTTTCTTGCCCACTTCGTCCGTGGACTGGGGTTTCCACTCCACCCCTTCGTCTGCGGGCTCATGTTCTACTACGGGCTTCGTCCTCAACATCTCGGTGTTCATCGTCGTATGTGAGGCTTTCCTCCGCATCAAGCCTCATTTTGGCTTATGGCTGCAAACCTTCTGCGTGAAGCTGAAGATCGTGAGCGGCCAGCAAGCAGAGTGCGGAGGAGCCATGGTGGGCAAAATGCCTAACGTCACCTGGCTTGACGGCTCCTTTGCAGAAACCATGAAGGGATGCCAATCGGGGTGGTTCTACATCACTGAGCCGCATGACACCGACTGGGCGGCAGCCCCCGAGTTCCGATCCGGAACCCCCATGCGGCTCACCTCCTTGGAATAGAAGGGCATGTCCTGGGGCGAACCTACAGAGCTGACTGGACTAATAAACTGCATCAAGGGCATGAGGGACAAGAACATCAAGCTTGTCAACATGATCCAGGTCATGCTCGTTCGCCGAATTCTGTCGTGCCAAAGGCGGGCATTTAATCTGTGGGAGTTCGTCCCGGCCGAACACCAGACGCTCCAGAGGCTCTATGGCATGAAGCACAAGAATGCGTGGAAGGTGTTGTTCAAGGCCACCGAAGTACCTCCTCTCATATCCGAGGACCGCGGGCTCCACGCTGCGCGGCATCCTATTCAGGTGAGTTCTCAGGCTGCCACCGGGTTCGGTTCTTCCCAATATATTCATGGGGAAGCCTTAAATGATTGTGTACATTTGTTCAGGATTATGTGGAGACAGCGAAGCAGATCGACTGTCCGGCTCCGCTGCCAGAATGCCCAGCTAATGATCTCCTGACGAAGATGCTGGTCCCGGCGCCCTATAAGGGGTTGGAGAAGAAGGACGATAAGAAGGCCTCGGGGACCCGAAAGGGTCTTCGACGTAAGGTTACGCAAGCCTCGTCCGAAGACGACGAGGCACACTCTTCCCCCGAAGGGGAAGAAGTGTAAGAAGAGGAGGCCGCCCCATCCGGAAAGGACCAGGGGCCTGAGAGGGCGGACCAGGGCACCAGGAGAGGGCCCCAGCGCAAGGCTGTCATACCCATGTCGTCTGATGACGACGAGGCACATTCCTCCCGCGGAAGCGGGGGAAAACAAGAAGAAACTCCACCTCCCCGTACTAGGGGGGAGAAAAAGAGGAAGGCCGCCCCGGAAGGGGAGACTGGGACGTCCAAGAAGGGAAAGGTGTCCCTTCCGGACTACTCCGCCACCGTCGCCGATAGCGAGGAGGGTTGGCTGCCCAGGAAGAAGCCCCTAGTGCGATCGTAAGTATCCGCACTCCATCGTAATTTTGCTTCATAGTTTTGTTATAGCGCCAAACTTGTATGCAGTCCGGCCAGGGCCCATCCCGAGGTGTCGTCTTCGGACGGGTCCTTGAGTGAGTCAGCAATGAACTCACTCCCAACAACCACTTCTCCTCAGCCTGCGGACGACACGGAGGTGTTGTCCCAAAGGCTCTCCGAGCAGGGGGGAGGTGGATCTAGAGGCGCCCCAAGGCGGCATTCCAAACGTCAAACATGCGGGGTTCAAGGTCCCCGCGGATCGTGTTGGTGAGAGCCGCAGTAAGCCGGACTCTCAGCCGAACACCGTTCCGGAACCTCCCGTGGTTCCGGACTCAGGCAGACAGCCCCTCGTTATGGATGGTGATTTGTCTATGCCGAGTACTTCCGCTACGCCCGAGGCATCGGATCGTCTGCTGGAAGCGCTTCGCGGTGCTTCCATAGATGAAGAGCACCATACTCTCATGAGTGTGGTGATTCAGAAGGTTTCGTCCGCCAAGAGCGGACTAACCGAAGCCTGCACTAGCCTCCTAACAGGCTTTGAGGTAAGTAGTAAAAATGTGTGAAATTACCACTCGATAGGTAGTAGCCCCTGATACTCTGTTTGGTGTTCGGAAGGAAAAACCAAACGGAGGGTCAATTATAATCCGCAAGAGTTTAACAGTAAGTTTGAATGTGCATAAGTAGGCTGTGCTGCTGGTCGCTGCTGCCCATACCACCGAAATCGCCAGCCTAAAGCAGGACTTGGAGCGGGCGCAGGGGGAGCTCGGCCTCACGAGGAGGCAGCTCGAGGAGAGCAAAGG